CTGGATTTCTGGGCTTAGTCAGTAATGGACATACGACCCTGGATTTCTGGGCTTAGTCAGTAATGGACGTATGACACTGGATTTCTGGGCTTAGTAATGGACATACGACCCTGGATTTGTGGGCCTAGTCAGTAATGGACGTAGAACCCTGGCTTTCTGGGTGCTCTGTCCAGCTCCTAGCTCCCGCAGAAATGACCCATTTCAGAGTGACTGTACAACCTGCTAGCTTTTTCTTAAGCTGCCACAGCTATGTGGAAGTGGGTATTCCAATGGCGTAACTTCAAGATGCAAACTTCTTCCACCTTCTGATTCGGTGCATGAAAGGGGCTGCCCAGGAGAGCTGCTGGGCTGACTGCTGCCCACACACTCCGTGTTAAACCTCTGGGTTTGCAGCTTTCCTCACGGTGCAGCATTCGTGCAGGGACACGGACACGGTGACATCCTGCTGCCACCACCTTCGCACCTACTCCTGAGCTTGCTGTCTTCAAACTAAACTCATCCCTCTCTTCTAAAACTGATAGATGTTTCCACCGGCAGGCCCTGTTTTAGCTTTCCGAGCCAACAGGACGGTTATTTTCTGCAGTTGATTCTCTCCCCTCTGCGCACGGTAGGAAGTCACTGTGTTAGTCTGCGCAGGCTGCCTGAGCCGGACACTGTGGATGAGGGGCCCGGACAGCAGAAATGTCTCTCCTCACAGTGCTGTGGACGCAGCGTCCAGATCCAGGTGCTGGTGGACGCGGTTTCTGATGAGGCTTTTCTTCTTGGTGGGCAGATGCCGGTGTTCTCACCATGTTCTTACACGACCTTTCCTTGCTCTGTGTGAGAGAGACAGAGAGGGAGACGGAGATAGAGAGAGGGAGAGAGAGGGAGAGAGAGACCTCGGGGGTCAGGGCTTTAACCTATGAATTTGGGGGGAGACTCAATTCATTCCATCACAGTCTCTGCCCCACACAGCCTACCAGCTGAAAACTCTCTCGAATGTTGAGTCACTTCTTCTATTCTTACTGCTATTGTGGACACTGCAATTAGCTTTTCCTAAAGAACAAAATATTTATACGTGGAAAGTGCATTTCATTCTCTCCCCTTCCAAGGGTCAGTTAACACTTCCAGTTTTCTGTATGTATTTCTTTACATAAACATTGATAGACATTTTATACTGCTCTGCAGACTTGCTTTCTGTACTTAACAAGGCAGTTTTCATATCTATATGAGGACGTTCTATAGCCCTCTCATTCTCTGTAGTGGCTATAAATTACTTACTGGATGTGAAAGATTTTTCAAAATGTACCTTCCACTGATCAACATTTATGCACCTTTAGTCTTTTGCCAATATAAAGTGTAAAGTACTCATATAATTGTGAAAAATATTTTGACGGCAAAAATGTTGATGAATATATTAGATTTCATATATGTCCACATACTAGTCAATGTCGTCAAACCATTTTAATCAGGTTCCTTGGATTCAAACTCACTGTTCCCCAATTTCCCTCCCTCTGGCACGCTGCTGTGTGGGAGGTTTAGTGGTTTTACGTTGCTAATAGGTCGAAGCCCCAGCCCCTCTGTACAGCAGACACAGCCCCTCACGGCCTGTCCTGCTGCCTTTCTACCATTCTGTTTCCTCAGCCTCCATTTCTGTGGCTCTAACATGCAAACTGCTCACAGTCCCATGCTGCCCTGATTCTCGCCTCTGGGTCTTACCAGCCCCGCTTCCCTCTCCCTGGAATACAGCCCTTTTTGCTTATGGAATCCTTGTTTTATCTTTCAAAACTCAGTATAGATCACCTCCTCTGGGTCACACTGGCTCCTGTGTCTGTTCCTGTTGGGGACGTCTTAACCTGTGCTTCTTTTGTTAACAGCTAGCCCGGTGAATAGTGTCTGAGAGCCTCAGAATTTTTGTGCTTATACTTAAAAAGTTGTGTACGCATTTTTAACAATACACTTTCAGTTGTACTCCAGCAATCTGCCTGTGCATTTCTCAGTTAAAACTGAGCATTTTCTACTATGGCACCTAAAAGTTACTCACGGAGAGTTAGCACTCTGAGCAGTGTGGTGGTCCACACGTGGGACCCAGCCGCTGGCCTGGCTTTCCTCTGCTGAGTTCTCTCTGGTGGCCCTTTTCTCTGGCTTACTGCACAACTGTCAAGTGCCACCTTCATTTCCTTCTGTGCGTTCAGACTGAACGTGTATTTCGCACTCAGTTTGTCCCCCTCCCCGTCATTCCTGAGAGGCATGCGGCACCCACGTGCCTTGATGAACTCGTTCATTCAGTCCATGACATTTACCGAACACCTAATTTGGGCCAGGCATGGCTGTTGGCACTTAGAAAAAAGACGAAATCTCTGATCTCATCTGTTCTAATGAGAAGAGACAGGCAATAAACACATAAATATGTAGAACAAATTCACAGCGAGGTAAGCAATGGGAAGGGAAATGAAGCAGATGAGGGATCATAAAACGGGGGGACGGGGACTATTATTTTTAGGATCATCAATGAAGCTCTAACTCTCTGAGCAGAGACTAATGAAATGAGGGGAACGGCTCTGTGCAGACTTGGAGATATTTCACTCCCAGCACTGGTATAGCCCCCATGAGGGCCCCCACGAGGGGCTGTGCTTGACGGGCTCCCCAAACTGTAAGAAGGTGAGTTTGGCTGGAACAGGTGCACGGACGGGGAGTGGAAGGAGATGAAGTGAAAAGCAAATACAGGCTGTGGAGGGGCCTGGTCGGTCTTGGAGGGACTCGGGGTTCATAGAGACTCTGCAGAGAGTTTTGAAGGAGGGGTGACGTGATCCGATCAACACATTTAGAAAACTGCTCTTCCTGATGTGGGAAGGTGGCAGGGAGCAGGAGACTGGGAAGACTAGATATGGGGCTGTGAAGCCTCTGTAGAGATAACATTGGTGAATAGCCTCATGGCCGGGCATCCATGCCGCAGGCTGTCATTTTAATAATTTCTGAAGAGACCATGTATAACTGCTTAATAGGGTTTTAAAGAAAACAGAAAAGCATATATAAGCACATCTTAAAAACATTCTAGGATTAAAAATGTGTGATTTACAATGACAAATACTGATTCCTACCTATAAAGAGGCAGGACATTTAATAATGCATGCTTAGAATCCTTTCTCATTGGTTTAGGTAGAAATTACAACCACAAAAAAAGCAGAATGTACAGAACCAAAGGAGAGGCTCCTGGGTGAAGGATCCTTCGATGAAGAAGCTTCCGCCCGGTCCTTTCAGGAGGTGTTAAGTCAGTGGAGGACTGGCCGGCCCCAGGCCAACGAGGAGCAGGCCGTACTCGCAGCAGAAGCAGGTATGGCCACTTTTATAAGGAGACCGTCAGGAGCCAAGGCTTTCCCTTCTCTGTGGATAGGATTACAATGTTCACAAACAGCAAACATCCGGCTGCCGTGTGCTAAACTCCTCACGGGGGGAGCAGCGCGCGGCCGCTGGCAAGTGGCTTCATCCTCCCTCGGCGCGAGGCCACCTGCTCTGGTCTCTGTGCAACCGCCAACTGCCAAACAAGCAGCTAATTGGGCTCTTTCAGCTCCACTCTCTTAGCAGGAGATTTTTGTCAGAACTGAAATTTCCTTTTTCTGAGCTGTAATTGTAGCCTATGAAGTGAGAGGATCTGTGAGACAGAGAAGTAAAGAAATTTTAAAAAATAAACATCCCTCCAAAAACGTGATGGCAAGGCCCCTGGCAAATTCCAGAAGGAAAATTGATTCGTGTTTCATTTTTCTTTCTTTTTGAAGAACTATTGTTTAATATCTTCTTGCCGATATTCACTGCCACATGCCAGACTTTGAAGAGCTAGACGACTGAAATATTCTGTGTCTCTGCTCTCAAATCTCTCCTGTCTCTTGGAGGAAAGCATAAGGATTTAGGGAATTCAGGTTATTAATTTTATTGCTTGGGCTCCTGTGTCTTCCAGTTGCTTTTCGTTGAATTCAAAACATTAGAGGAGAAATTTCAATCATGTATTTTACTTGGCAGAGGGTCTAATGTTTGCTGTTTTCATTTCACTCTTCTTCAGGGAGGGAGCGCTCCTGGTCATTTCCCCTTTATGACACAGCATCATTCCTAAGATCAAAGCATCCAGCCCCTTCCACTACTGTAATTGGACTTTTTACTGAATGTTCTGTTTTTTATTTTACTAAATGCTCTGTCCTTCACATATCTTTCCCTGCATTCGTTCATGATACGCACTGGTTTCATTAATGTTTTCAAGACTTTATTTGCGCACTCCCTTCTCTCTCTGTACCTCATCTCTCACTGACTTTTTTATTTTCTGTGCTTTAAATTGCAATTTTATATTTCAATGCATTTTTTTTTTATTTATTAACCCTGGAAGATAATAAATATTCTATAGAAGTGCCTTCTTAATTATCTATTTTGGAAGGCAAAGTGTTTAAAATAACACCAATTCTGAGGAAGAGAAATCACCAGGTCAGAAATCCAAACCTGTTTAAAAAATTTATTTTTCATAGTAGTAATAGCTATGTGATAAAAAAATAATACAGTGATTATTTTAGAAGATTTATAACAAGTTACTAAGAGGGAAGTGGAAATAGTCCATTCCTACCATCTAGAGAGAAAGCATATTAACATTTTGGTGCATGTTTGTTAATTGACACAGTTGTGCACACACAGGAGTGAAAAGTGGATGACGCCGTGTCTGCCATTAGTTAATTTCATTTTTTACCGAAATTCCGTCATGTACAGATTATGCCATCGAAGTACAGACACCCATCATCACTAGTTACAGTCACCTAGTGTTTTAGATATTACGATTTAATCAGATGCTTGTTAATGGATATTTTATTTTTAAATCTCAGTATTATAAAGGAAGTTACGATGGCCATCTTGGCTGTTAGTGTGTTTACACAATTATCTCAAAGTAAATTTCTGAATATAGAAATGGCATCTCAGGGGTTGCCTTTTGCTCTGTTGAAATTCTGATGCATGTTGCCAAATTGTCCTCTGTACAGATCACTGTGTCAGTTTCACTCTTAACGTTAGGGTGTAAGACGACTATGTCCCCATACTTTCTAATTCTCTAACTTTAGGCAGTTTGACTGACAATAAATTATTATCATTTTAACTGCATCTTCAGCACTACATGAAAAGTCATTATACTTTTTGTCAACATCTTTTGTTTTTATGATTTGTCAGTATTTGGGTACATGCAGTGTTTCAAATATCACAGGCACAAAACATTGTTTTCACAAGAATCTCATCAGCAGAGACCTGAGCACATACTTTGTGTTGGGGAGCGTGTGGTGTGCAAAAGCAGCCCCAGCCTGATCCAGGTGGAGCCCGGGGACCATGCGGTGTGCAAAAGCAGCCCCAGCCTGATCCAGGTGGAGCCCGGGGACCATGCGGTGTGCAAAAGCAGCCCCAGCCTGATCCAGATGGAGCCCGAGGGATCAAATGATCAGCCCCCTGGCTTGGAGAAGCCCCACACAGGAGACATAGCACGCAGCCAGGCAGTTAATTGCTGCATCTTGTTGTGGGTAGCAGCTTCCCACAATTTTTAGGCTCTGAGGGCATTCACCGCAAGATTATAAGTCAGTCCTTTCATTTGACTCTCTTAAAATTGCCCCTTTAAGTATTCTTTTTCCAGCCAAGTCTCTGACTGATAAAGATGCTTAGAAAACAGCTTTCTAAGAAATCAGGTTTGAGTTGGGATCTAGAAAATGGGTCAGAGGAGGGACACAGGAAACAGGTGTGTGTGCCAGGTCTGTGGTGAAGGGGGTGAGCAGGTGGTGTTTGTAGAAACTGGAGAGAGATGTGAGTGTCTGGACCACGGAGAGGAGGGGAGAGTGTCCAGGCACAAGAGGCTGGAGAGGTAAGAAGAATTAAACGTGGTGGGTGGAGGAGAGGGACAAGCCTACAGGGAACGCAAGGAGCGGCCTGGAAGTAGGAGGGGATCTGGCAAAGCGGATCATCGTGAAACCAATGGGAAACAGAGTTGTGAGATAAGTTGTGGCAGGATGGGGTTGTGAAGAACTAATGCAGGTGAGGGCTTTTGTTAATGTAATAATGTATAAATGTTTTACCCCAGAGTATTACATATATGATCGATATTGTGCCTGACGTTGTGTGTGTATGCTCTTCCTTTATACAAATATATGCTTTTTTGCCTTTTAAATGTTATTTATTTATTATGTATTTATTAGCTATTAAATGATTAGTTGGTCTGTCTCCAATTTTCAACATTGGCAAGTGATGCTGTTATGAATTTTCCTGCACAGGGCCCTGGTGCAAATGTGCTGTATTTCTAGGAAGGTGTGTATCTGGGAGTGGAGCGGCTGGGTCTGGGAGTGCACGTCCTCAGTCACACCAGATAAAGCTGAATTATTTACCAAAGAATTTGTATCAATTTGTATTCCCAGCTGCAGTGTGGAAGAATTTTATAGGCGTCCTGTTACCATTAATACATAATATCGTGAGGTTTAAAAACGTTCCTGGTCTGATAGAGGTGAATTTGTGTAGCTCTTATTACCAAAGACATTCAACACCTTTCGTAAGTTCCTTGACCGTTTAGTTTGGTGTGCTCCTTGGCTTTCCAGGTCTTCTAGTTATTTCTAAGTTGATTTTATTGTAGTATTGTAAAGGCTCATTTCCTTCAGTGTGACAGGCAGGTGCTTTCAACGGCCTAGAAGGTTCTGTGTGGTCTGATGTCGTTATCTGGGTGACATCTCGCCCTGTTACTCTCCCTGGACCCTGCTCGATTTCAGCCACTCTGGATTCCTGGCTGTTCTCCAAACTCTTCAGGCAATTTCCCCTTAGGACTTCTGTATTGTGTATTGAGGACAGTGTCCACCAACCCATCACTGTGAGTGGTAGAGAATCTTAGACTCTGACAAAAGTTAGCTAGCAACCCATGAAACAGGGAGCAGATCAGAACCAAAGTTACTCAGTATCAGCGCCTTTCTCTAGGGCGCCACGACACATAAATCCGTATATTCCAGATTTGTTTACTGTAAGCAGTTTTAAACCAGGACTGTGTGCTGAATGTACTCAGATAGCTGAAGATTCTCCTCTTCATGAATATCACGGATCCGTTGGCCGGAAGGTCTAGTTACTACAAGGGAGTTAACACAGGTCACCTCCCATCTTTATTTCCTGGGAATGGGAGAAAAATGACTCACGCCAGGTACTTGGACCCTTCCTCCCCATCATCCTTCTAGGTTTGGAAGCTCTTCTCTGTGACCTAGGCAGAAAGGAAAGTAAGTCCTTTTCTTTCTTTTTTTCCCCCCATTTTTTTTTTTTTTTTTTGGCTGTCTTGTCAGGAAACCTTTTGAGAATGACTCTCCTGAAGCCCTCTCCCCCTACCCCCTGACTCGCTCATATCACACTGTAACCCCTGCTCTTTCAGTTCAGTAGATTCTACTTGGAGCTTCTCAGAACTTTTATTAACACTGCTCTGTTCTTTGGGAAGAAATCAAGAGGGATGGCACATCTCATGGTTTGTTTTCATTGTCAGTGTCTGGCTGTTTGTGGAAATCACTGGGGTCTGCAGGACGGGGTTGGGCACCTTTCATTTTATATCCGCAATAATATTTCCCCATCTTCACTATTCCCTTTATTTCCCTCCGATGTTTCCTCCCCATGTTGTTTAGTTTGGAAAGAGGGATGATGTATGGGAGGGTGGAGAGACTTATTCCTGGATTTACACTGCTTTCTTTCCCAAAAACCTTCATCTGTTTTAAATATCTTTGTGATTTTAATTTACTGGTACTTAAGAAACATCTCAAGCATCTGGAAGTAAATTACCATGTAGATATAAATTTATGAGGATAGCGGGCACCTGCAGGTGCCATTCCGAATTATTTTCTGTTTATCATAATGGGTAAACATTATGTCAGTGACTATAGTACTTTATGTTTTTGTATATTACATTTTTAACCTATGTGTATAGAATGAATCTGTATTTTTTCTCATATTGAAGAATCAGTTGCTTTAAAACACCTTTCATTTCAATTGACTATTGAGGAGACTATACAACTATTTCATAAATCAGCAATATTTAACAATTTTGTGTTATTTAAACCTTAGGCTATTGATTATATGGATAAATATCAAAGCACATGTGCCTCAAAAATGATGCGTTCTCTGTAAGTTAAGAGAAGATGTATACAGATTTGGTTGCATTAATTGTACACATTGTGTTGATTTTATAGACTCTTTGGAAGAATGTGAAGTACAGACTAATCTGAAAATTTGGAGGGAACCAATTACTATTGAATTTAAAGAAGACAGTCTGTCCTATATGGAAAAATTATGGCTTAAGAAACACAGGAGGTATTTTCTGAATTTTTAATATTATTAGGAAATATATAAGTTATTTGTATTTATTTCTTATGTGGCATGACATTTTGTAACAATTTTACAAGTACATTTCATATTTGCATAGATTTTTAAAAGAAATATTAACTTTTCCATGAAGCTCCTACTGTTCTAATCAGTATTTTATTCCTATTTATGTATATGATGCATCATTAATTAAGAATTTTCCTTGAGAAATGGAAATATGTATATGGAGAAAAGGCACAAATACAGTATAGAATTTAAGAATAATAACAAAAATAATGTGATAGACCCATGACTACTGTGAGGAGGTGGTGCTGTCAGGTTTTTGCATTAGCATGAACGATCGAGGCTATAATAGTCAGGATTACTTTTAAGTTAGATATTTAATAGTAAAATTTGATCAATAATTATACATATCTTAATCAAAGACGGTATCATTAGACGCTATCCCCTAAAGATTGTGAAAATAAAGATACTTTCTTAGGAGGTCTGCAGAAACCGATCGTTCTGCATCTTGAATTTCTTATGGCTCCCAGGTGACACTGGTGTGTGTGACGCTGGGCTCTGTCCTCACTGTGAGAAGCAAGGTGCTGGAAGAAGGCTCTAGAATGTTCCGCAGAGTGTGCATCCAGCCCTCACTGCACTTCAGCCACACAAAACCATCTCCCATGGTGGCCCAGTCCATCTTTGGAATATTCAGCCTGTTATAATATTTCATAGTGAGCTGTAATCCATTTCCAGCTAGTGTCTAAAATCCGTCCTACTCCTATCTCTTGTGCCTCTATAGAGCAAACCGAATTTCTGCTTTCTGTGGGATGTCTTTAGAATTTTTAAGTCAGCTGTTGTGTCTCCTTTGAAGCTTCTGTTTGATAGATTAATATCTGCACTGCACTAACTATTTAAAGATGGAAAAACAGTTTTCGATTAGTTATTTTTATTTTGAAATACGAAATACAGGAGAGTTACAAAGTAGTTCAAAAAAATCCTCAGATATCATCCACTGAGTTCTCCCTAACGGCAATAATCTGAGATAAACACAAGGCCTTTACCCACACCAAGGAATTGACATCAGCACGGTAGTATTGAGTACTACTATTAGTATAAATTTTACTTGGGTTTTATCAGTGTTTCAAAAAATATCCTTATCCTGTTCCAGGACCCAACCCAGGGTCTCACATTGCATTTTTTGTCGTATATCTTTAACCATCACAGTTCTTCAGTCTTTCCTTGTTTGTTTGTTTGTTTTTAATGACCTTAATGAGTTTGGAAAGTACTTGCCGTATGTTTAATAGAATGTACCCAGTTTGGTCCTGTCTAGTGTTTTTCATAATTAAATTGGGGTTGTACACTCTGAGGAAGAATACCACTTCTCAGCACACAATGTCCTAGGGTCGGGATACCAATCTGTCTTGTCACTGGTGACGTTTAACCTGGTCTTCTGGAGAACGTGGTGCTCACTGAGCTTCTCCACTGTGAAGTTACTGCTCTTCCTTTCCAGTTAATAAATATATTAGAAGAGGCATTTTGAAATGATGCAACTAATCTGCTGTCCCTTAAGCTTTCCCCTCTGGATTCCGGCACTCGTGGGTGCATTTTGCCTGCCCCAGTACTACTCCTCTGCTCCTCCACTGGTGGGTTTCTGTTTTCTTCAGTCCTCCCACATTTATTAACTGGAATTCTTTTTCAAGGACGTATCCCTTCTCTCACTTTCGTTTGTGCATTCAAATGTTTCTTTACGTGGCTTCGTGGATATGTATTTTATTTGGGGATGAACATCTGATACTGCTGTTTACTTTGTGACTTGTGTTGTTCCTGCTCTGGCCATTGGCAGGTCGCCCAGCTTGACCCCCCCTCCTCACCGTTTGACTTTCCCTCATCTGGTTTTGTTCTCATTTTTAGTTATTTCGCTTTGAATATCTCTTTATTCTTCTGGCATTCAAGATGTATTTCCTCTGCCCCAGCCCAGGAATTCATTTCTTCAAGGAATCTTGATTCCTTATAGTGGAGAATGATGTTCAGACACCAAGACCCGGTTAGCACATGTGGTCACTGTGGGTCAGGTGTGGAGGTTGCGGGCTTTTCAGAGGCGGGAGCCAGGCAGCACACACACTCAGCACACAGCGGCCCAGCATAAACACGCATCCAAGTTTATCTCTAAGCCTATCTAGTTGGACATCTATTAAGGTGACGTGAGTCACACTGATACTTCTGACTCCAAACCAAGATCACCTGGCTTATTTGGCGTTTCCCTTTGCTTGTGTGGAATTTCTTCCACCTGCAATGGGAAACCTGGCTTTTGTTATCTGTATTTATTTATTAATTAACATATATATATTAGCTTCAGAATTACTAATATTATCATGAGATAAATGGATTGCTACTTTTTCAATTGAAGATACACTTATTTAGAATATAGCTCTAGCAGCAACATGATAACTGGTACTCATAAATCTCTACCAAGAAGCACGTGACCTTTAACAGGTGCCGTTTTCATGAGTGCATGTCATTATCATCATTATTAGGTACAGAATCCAAGATAGTATTTAAATCCTGCAGTTTCAGATCATTTAGTAATATCAAATAATTGTCTCATCGAGCACAGGAAAAAAATTCAAAACCAGTTTCTTTCCTTCTGCTGGTTCCTTTGCGGTCAGACCAACCTTCTCACGGGAGAATTCATTCACAGGGGACCTGGCCACATTTCCGGGTCTCACTCTTGGCCGCAACAGGAACTGAGCAGAGAGGATCATGGAGAATCCTGTAGGCACTGCCCTGAGAGAATGCCCGGCCCCAAACCCTCCTTTGGGCATCCCAGCTGGATGTCACTGACGTGGTCAGAGGTGGTTTCGGCAGCAGACATGTCACTGGGTAGAGGTGGAGCCCTGGTGGCAGCAGTACCACACGGCTGCAGGTTGAGATGGACTCTTCCCTGAGCCAGCTGTATGGCTGCAGGTTGAGATGGACTCTTCCCTGAGCCAGCTGTACGTCTGCAGGTTGAGATGGACTCTCCCCTGAGCCAGCTGTACAGCTGCAGGTTGAGATGGACTCTCCCCTGAGCCAGCTGTACGGCTGCAGGTTGAGATGGACTCTCCCTTGAGCCAGCTGTATGGCTGCAGGTTGAGATGGACTCTTCCCTGCGCCAGTTGTATGGCTGCAGGTTGAGATGGACTCTTCCCTG